ACTCGATCGAATTTGTTTTATGAGAATAAGGTATTTACTGTTTTTAATTAATAATCATCATCATCATCGTCATCATCATGACAGGCACAAGGACAATGTCGCTAACTTATCTTAGAAAAGTTTTGTTTCATTTCTTTTAGCTTCTGGTTCCTGGCGGTATCAATACGACTCAAAAGCCTTCTTATTTTCGCTGGTAAACAAGCCAGGATGGGCGCCTGTCAAATTGTCCCAGTCAGGGCAATATAGTTCTAGCAAAGATTCCATATGCTTTAGCTCATCCTATGGGCCTACATTCGGAGGAGGACATGACATTAACATCAAAAACTACGCGTCATCTAATAGCAATTCTTACAGCAACCTTGGCCATACTTACAGCCTACCGAGCGGATACAGCTACACCAACACCTTCGCACGAACATTCCTGGCAGGAACATACAGATTCACACCAGACGAAGTTGAAACCTTTTACGAAACAACCTAATTAATATAATGCGTGACACCGGCTTTGATATTTGAGCTGAGCTTATTGTACAAGTAGACGCTTAAAGGTGAACGAATCTACAGCACTAATCAAGCTCCTTATATCTAAATCAAAACACAATCATTACAACGTATACTACATCATTTTACAAACAAACGAAAAATAGATATGTCAAAAAGAGAAATGATTTTGATATCTATAACTGGTCCAACTGCTCTGATTATAAATGGCTGATAAAAGCGTGTTATAAAGTATCTCCCAAGCTGTTCACAGTACCGCGTAGGCCTTAACCCAACCCTAATCTTTTTTCACCTGGGTACGAGTCTACCTGGGGACAGCTATACTGTCATCTGTCAGAAAACAGTTACATCCTTATCATGAGGGCAAAGAAATCTCAGCTTCCGAGAAAAAGAAGTTGAAAAAAAAAAGCAGTACAGTGATATTTTACTGAAGCAGGCTGTCCTCACTGGCGGTTTGTAACTGTGGCTTGGCCTTCATAAGTATTATAATAATCCATAAGGAAACTTAAGAGTCTTAAGAGATAACACTGATCAAAGTTTGGTTTTACTTGGTCCGCGTGCATAATGCCGGATACCACTATATAAATATTAGTAATCAAAGATTAAATTACTATCTCTAATTATCTCATATACAGGTATAGACTGCTTGCAGTCACATGACAATCCCGATCCCCTTCTGGCAGTGTAGTAATTAAATTTAAGAGGGTTGGGTTACTAATTCATGTAAGCCCTACGTATACTATCTGAGGCACATCAGTAGCCATCATGACTGTTCTAGTATATAAAATATTAATGTAATATACACTCATAAGAAATGTATACTGATAGTAAATAGATAAAAGATCACGTTCACGGGCTAGTATTAATTGTTTTTACAGACAAGAATTAAAATTCAATAAAATTACTCAGTTTTGCCATAAAAAGAGAGCTTCATTCTCTCAGCGTTATCAATAATGAGGGTTAATGGTCACGTGATGTTTGATTTCAGCAATTATTTAAAATATGGTGTCTGTTAGAACTTTGACCACATTTGAGTGCAACAGGAGGAAGGTTAACAACAGGCAGAGCAGCCCGGCTTACGTCAATCTAATGTAAGCTAATTTTAACTAATACACTCATTTTTATGGACTTAATGAGAAGGGATCAGGTTTAACTTCCAACTTTCCCTCAAACGTGGAGAGACTGTGACAGAAAACAAGAATTAAATTAAATAAAATTACTCATACTCGAATGCTTGTTACTATTAAAAAGAGGAACTTTATTCTCTCCACGTTATCAAGAATGATGAATAAAGCCAATGGTCACGTGGTCAACCTCTTAACTTTCCTGTAAACGTGATGTTTGGTTTCTGCAATATTTTAGAATATGGAAATTGTTGCAACTTTGACCACGTTTGAGTGCAACAAGAGAAAAGTTACAGCCTACGTCAATCTAATGTAAGCTAACACTCTTGTTTTTCTGGGCTAAATCAGAAGCGGATCAAGTCTAACTTGAAACTTTCCCTCAAACTTCTGTCTTCTAGTGGCTGTGAAAGAAAACGATCGTAAAACTACAAAAATGAAAACCGTAAACTCTTCCAAATCTCAACGAGTTCTTGAGTTTGTTCCGTCAATTAGATCATCGTTCCTTTCGGTGGTATTAGTTTTAGTTTGCGGATGTCTCTGGGTGAAAAATGAAGCAACAAACGAACGACTGATTTCACTGGAATCTCGTATTTACTGTGTTCCTTGCACTAAGCGTGGCACGATTGATAATCTTGACAGGATGACTTTCTCACCGACAAAAGATATCGCAATAGACCTTTCCAAGAAGATGCAGACACAAGTTTCAGATGATGGGAACGGCTATACCTCAGGTAAAATTTATTCTTACTCTTCTTACTTGGATGGCCTTGTGTACATTGAGGATGTTTAGACCTGCTTTTATCCTCCCTCGGTTAAGACATAACCTTTCATGACGTGAGTTCGCGTTAACAACACGGGATGTTTTGCAATTCCAAAATAGTATCAGATTTTAACTTAGACTGTATGAAACTGTTTTGTAATGCTCCCTAGATGTCAGTAATTAAGCCACTGCCACTGGTAAGAAACTGAAGAGATCTACAGCGTAAACGAAGTTGAATTTATAAATAATCTGTCTACAACGGCAGAACAAGATTCCTTTACGCGCCAGATAGTCGATATCATTACTATACAGCTTTTCAACAAGATTGTCTTTTTAGGATTTTTAGCCAGACGACATTAGATGAGGTTCCTTAAACATTTCTTTAAGTGAGGGCAGCATGTGCTTCTGGTTTGAGGTTATTTGGGGTCTCGGAATTGAAAGGTACTGCGGGACCAATTTCAAGCAATAATGACCCAATTCTTGGCAATTTATTTTTAGATTTATCTGTTTGCTTTAGATTGAGCTATTTTCGTTTAGCACTTTCTGGATAAATTTTGGAATAGTATAGACATTATAGATCAGTAAAGACAAAAGGAGTGTATTAAAAGATTATTCATACCGGGAGATATTTCCGTTTCTCTCAAAGGAGTTCAGTCTAATTTGAAAAACCTTTCTTAACCCTTATGGGATTACAACAGCGATTGAAAGTAGGTGTATTCAAGATCTCAGTTGGCTTGAAATTCGTGCGCAGCTCTAGTTCTTTTTGTAAGTTACCTTTATCAGAAATGTCAGCCGTACCATTCTTTCGTTCCTTATCGATCTTGCTCATTTTTACAATTTATCAATGTAATTAACAGGTATTATCTAATTCTACTTTACTGCAGTCAGCTCGTTGCCAATAAAGGCATCAGCAACCATCCGGGTAAGAAAGCGAAGAAACAGCTTGAACGACACTTCAACTGGCATCACCATACAAGAAGTGAAAAAAGAAATCAGCAAACAGTTTGAACAACTTATGCCCACCAAGTACTGTAGGTCAAGTGAGAAGGTATGTCCTGCAGGTCCCCCCGGGTATCCTGGTCCCATTGGAGCGAGGGGACCACGTGGCAGGAGGGGACCAAAAGGAAAAAAAGGTTCTCAAGGTCTCATAGGACCTCCTGGAAAATCCGGAAAAACGGGAATGACGGGTCCCGCAGGAGCGAAAGGAGAAAAGGGAGACAAAGGAAAGCCTGGGCCAAAAGGAATGCCGGGACCACCTGGAAGGCCTGCAAAGTCGATATCTGCCCCACAAGTGATGTTGTCGCCGAATAAACAGACTCGAGATGAAGGTGGTAATACGGCGTTTTATTGCACGGTCGTAGGAAATCCTTCCCCAGTCGTGGAATGGCAATTTATGGGCATAAAACTTCTATCAGGTGCAAAGTATTTGATTAAAGAAGGAGAGTTGATCGTTAGAAATCTGAATTACAGCGATGCTGGGCCGTACACATGTGCAGCCAGAAACATTCTTGGATCGTCTGAGGCCACAAGTAACTTATCTGTTCGAGGTGAGAGAAGTATTTTACTTTTGAGGTCTCTTAAATAAGGCCGTTTAATTTTGTTTGATATGTCATTATATGTTTCATGTCCTCGCAAGGTAATAAGGTTGCGAGAATTGAACATCACTTTTTTAAACATCCAAGGAAACCTGTAAGATGTAAAGGCATAGTCGAGCACCATCCTCAATCAATAAATCAATCAAACAATAACTTTTATTATTAACGTGTCATAGCTTTTAGCGCAACACAAGTGGTGAGCTAATCGGGGACACTCCCCCTGACATATTACCTTAGAGTGAGTTAATTGAGCTAGCCTGATGCCTCACTGATGAAACACCTTGTAAAATGCCTGGGACTCGTGACCTTTTCACACGCTTTTGATACGGTTTTTTGCGTCTGAGTAGCCGTATCTTCAAATTCTAAAAAAAGACACTGAAAGAGTTACTAACCAATCATTTGAATCGGTTTCTCCTTTCCTTTTCCTTTCTGTTATACAGATAAAAATCCTGTACAGAGTTTCCCGAAAAAGAAAAGATCTATGGGTCGTCATCTTTCTCAGTTGCAATCGTTTGGACCATTAGGGCTAGATAATTTTTCTTTTCAGGTGTTCCAATCTTCACAAAAGTTCCACCTGCACTTGCCACACCTGTACAAGGCACTACCTTTCAAGTAACCTGTCAAGCTGAAGGCTATCCTCGCCCTGTAGTAACCTGGATTCGAGCGGTGCTACCTTTTCCTGCCGGCAGGACTGAGGCAAACAAGGGTACATTAACCATTAAGAACCTTATCCCGGCTGACAACGGTTTGTACGAATGTATGGCAACAAACATCATTGAAACAAAGAAGGCCAGGATCAATGTGGCAGTACAACGTAGCTCAGCTGCAGGTTTGTCCTTATGCGGCAAGGCAGGGGCGGATCCAGGATTTTTCTAAGGTGGGGTTGCACACTAATGAATCAGGCGTAACTGACTGTTGACGTAAACCAGGAGCCTTTAACAAGGCTTTTTCAGTGCCAAACTACTTGAACACCAATAAACCACATTATTTATTATTATTGGTTCTATTATTTTTATTTTTTTTCAGAATACTAGTTGTATTGCGTGCGCACCCCTAGCCTGCGAGTAAGCTCTCCTATTTGGGCGAGCGAAGCGAGTCTCGCGAGAACACGCAAGCTTGCTCGCAGGCTAGCGCACCCCCTGCACCCTCCCCCTAGATCCGCCCATGCAAGGTCTGCACAGACATAAATGGAACATTTAGTGACATGTAACATAATCCTTAATGGAGACCATGGCTACAGATTATAGATACTGAAGGACCGTTAAGGTTCGTATATCCGGTTCAAGACATTATATATGCTAGGACATTATCACAACATCACTCAGACTTCTTAAGTTAAATTTGTATAGGACTGACAGGGATGGTCTTTCATATTGTTATAAAAAGAGCGTCATTGGTATAGGTTGACCTGTGAGTAGCAGGTTCTTAAAGGGAAAAGGAGAGGGGAGCCTTCACTAGAGTTTAAATTTGAAATACCAAAAATTTCCTTGCCAGAAAATAAGGTGGCACTTGATATCCAGTCTCTTGTCACTTGGATGCCGTTACACTTGGCAAGGAAATGAACTGTTGAAGGGTTTTTAAACAGTTCTAGTTATATTCTTGGCCATAACAGCGTTCTTTTGCCAAATAGAAGAAGTAGATTTTTTTCCTCCCAGGTTTGCACGACTCCGTTATTGTGGGAAGCAAAAATAATTACTTAACCTCGTTCAACAACTGGCTGGCACCTGTGGCAAAAAGCGTTAATTCTTTCTTGCTATCTAGCCTCTAGTCACTCGCAATGTTACACTTGATAAAGAATTCATTTGATGTCGAATTTTTAAACAGTTCTACTCGGCTCCAACAGGGTCTTTTGTCAAATAGTAAAAGTCGAATTTTTTCCCCAGGTTTTCACGACTCTGTTATCGTGGGAAACAAGAAAAATCACTTAACCTCGTTAAGCAACTGGCTTGCACCTGTCACAAAAAGCGTCAATTCTCTCTGGAAACGCTGTTGGCGTGCATCCGTCGACGGCTGGGCTGTAAGTACATTTCACTCCCAATGTGACGGCAAGGGCCCGACTGTGACAATAGTAAGGGTCGGGAGATATATTTTTGGAGGATACACAAGTATTTCATGGGGTAAGTGAGCATTGTAAGGGGCAGTTACCTTACCTTTGCAGTTGCTTGCATGGATATGTTGGGCTAAAAGTGCAGCTTGATAGCTCGGTAATGAGCAATGTGGAGTCAGTTTGACCTTGCATGGTTAAGCAGTAGCCGATAAAGGATTCAGGTTAGCGGATCTAGATTCGGACGCGCACCCCCTCGCCCCTCTGAAACCGAGGACCCCCCTCCTTGACTCACAAGGAATTAGCAAATGTGGCAAAAAACAACTACAGCAACAGATTTTTTTGTTGATCATGATTTTAACAGATTTGCTCTACACAAGTTACAAAAGGAAATATCCAGTTACCCGAAGTTTTATATATTATTTTTCAAATATTTTTTTGCTCGAATCTATTGCTTTGTAATTGCGAATTTTTGCTTTCAGACAGCCCCCATAGACAAAAACCTTTGCTCCCGTACGTGAGCGCACAGTCTGTTAGGTTTCGGGACCGCGATTGTTAATCTCCCGTTCAAAAATTGGTTGCTTGCGGGAGGTCTTATTGGAAGCAATAAAATGAAACACTGAGTGATAAACACAAGATATACACATTCTCATGGTTATTTTATCAATAATTTATAAAGCACTTAGTATCTGTAAAAATTTTTCCACTAATTGTATATTACTAGGCGACCCAGTGATTTACATTTTTTCGTTTTAATTGGATGTGTTTGGAGTTATTCTTGTCGAGGGTATAGATGTAAGCAGGGTAATATGATTGATCATGAGTGGATTTCAATTCAGGGGGTAATCGGCCGTGTATTTCAAATTGGCTGAACGCGTATTTTTTGTTATTTACATTGTTAATGTAAGGATATATGTTGAGAGAAGAACTAAAAAAAGGTCTGAGTTCCAGATAGGAACTAAACTCTCAATACACTTCATGAGTTATTGGAAATTTTAGTACTGGGCTGGTAAAACGAAAGTACTGCATCGAGCGCTAACTTTTTTTTTTTTTTTTTTGATGTGCTCTAATTTACCTTCAGTATCAGAAAAAATATCCCAAATGGCACTTTTATTCCATCTCTATTTTCTTGCAGGTTCTGGCTCTGGGTATCGGTACGACTCAAACGCCTTTTTATTCTCACTTGTAAACAAGCCAGGATGGGTACCTGTTAAACTGCCTCAGACGGGGAAATATAGCTCCAGAAGGCAATATTCCATAGAAAATAGCCCATCACATGGGCCTATATTCGGAGGAGGAAGTGACATTTACATATCAAACTACGCGTCATCCAATCGCAATTCACATACCAACCTTGGCAATACTTACAGCCCACCGAGCGGGTACAGCTTCGGCAGCACCTTCGCCCAAACATTCCTGGCCGGAACATACCAGTTTACACCAGGGGAAATAGAAACGTTTCACGAAACAACTTAAATAACTCTAATGAGCTACAACCGGCTTTTATGTTTAAGTAATGCATTATGCATTATCTGATGATCACTAAAAATCATACTATAGTAAACAATCTCTAAAATCGATTGTCCCAGTAAGCTTATAAGTAAGAAATTCTTAGCAGCTGTAGGAAAAGAGGCTAGGAAATGTTAGAAAACATAATACATTGTTACATTATATAGAGCAATGTGGTTGTTAGCGGAGCTCCCGCGCGCGCGAAGCGCGCGTAGCGGAGCACCATGGGTAAGAAAATTTGGTAAACTATCCATCCGAGAAAATTTGGTTATGACGTAGAGTACGCCCACCCGTACACACACTTCATGTAAGCCGATGTCAAATGTCACAATAGACCTTGCACAACTTGACTAGCCTCTTAGTTATGTAAGCCATCCGTATGAGTACGATTAGATTGACAGCTGTCAAAATCAGACATCCGCTGACAATTATCACATGACCATCTCGCGGGCTCAGATAAAAGACTAGTCGTTTTACCCCTATATATAAGCTGACATAATATGTCACACTTACCAATTCAACAGAAAAACGAAACTACGCTGGGCAAGGCTGTCAGTTGACTGACAGTCGTTTAAAGTTACATTGGCAAGCCAAATTAAGTTCAATTGACAGCTGTCAAAATGGGACATGTGCAGACCACAATCAGAAAACTAGTAACGTGGGCTCAGGTTCGCTTAGGTACACGATCTGGCATTTTCCGCTACATGCCGGACGGATATGTCCTACTCACACTTGTAGTCTGTTAATTCAAATATTCGCCATTCTAATGAAGGTTAATTGACAGCTGTCCAACTAGAGTATACGCTGACCATCATCACCTGAGTGGATCGCGGGCTCATTTTTCTATCCATTGAGGTCACGTAGTGTTTAAAGTTTTGCGCATATATTTTATTTGATCACAGGCTCAATTCGAAGCCCCATAGCTTTATAGAAAATCTGTCCATCCTAGAAAATTCGACAAGCACGTGACCGTACACCGACCACCCGAGTATCGCGGGATCAGGTATAGACCCTCTGAGTTCGAGTAATTTTTTGAAGGTATCCGCTGACAAGTTGCTACTTTTCAAATGATCGCAGGCTCAAGTTCAATTTTTTTAAAATGCATATGAAATAAGTCGTGTTCATGAGCCGCACATTTAAAATGTTGATTTCGAACTGACCTCGGACACGAAAATTCAACCGGCTTTTACATTTAAATGCAGGGAAGGCAATCGCTTTTGACTTTTCTCACTGTCACGTGTTCATCACGCTCTACGTCCAATTTTTATGTTCTGATTGGTCAAAATTTGACAGGTGAGTTTATGGGGAAAATTTATGCAGCGTCTGGAAACTTGCTTACTGATAGCTGGAGCTGACAGAGTTTTGTGTCATCTTGTGATGTTTTAAACTGTCTTTTTCTACTTGGTGTACAAAATGAAATACAGCTGCTATCAACATTGTTCTGTAATTCGTGGCTGGTTTGCTTATTGCGCTTTTTGTTGACAAATGCACCGCTTGTCAAAGTCATTGGAAATCCGATTTCGGATGGCATCGTTTTCAAAAATGAGCTTACTCACTTGAGGCGTAAGAGGGTTGAAAAGTCTCAAGCGATTCTGGAACACTTGAAGACCTTCAGAAGCAGCATCTCGACTGGTAAGCCTGAGCAATTATTGTCTTTGATGTGTTTTTTTTTTCGGTTTCCTGAAGTCGAGCGTATGGTTTAATTATGCGGCTTAAGTTTATACACGAGCAATTATCTAACCTACAATAGTATCAGGTTTAAAAAGCCTTTAGACACTTTTTGACCCGCAAATTCAAAGAAAAGGTTCCGAAGATTATTTAGTTATGATTTTGGCAGTAAACAGAAAGCTCTGATGGATTTTCTTGCCTCGAGTTCATCTTGAAAAAGAGAAAACACCGGGAAGCCGGCTTAAAACATAAATAAGCTTATGCTTACCTGACTCATGATTTTCTGAGACACTTCACTCTCAATACTTCTCTTCGTCAATGAAAATTATTGTCTCTGTACAAGTTTCACCGAATTAAATTTATTTTATTGATTGTTAGTAGTCCCTCTCGCAATTTTTATCGCTGCACCGGTTTTTTTTTTTAATTTCCAGTGGAACATAAACATCGCATGCAAGAATACTCAAAACGCCGCGCGTAAATATCACTCGCTTTTAAAGATTACACATAAAAAAATCATGCACAGTTTAATGAATAAAAGGAAGTAAAACCTAAACATAACAATTTCTCTATCATGCTTAAGCGTGAATGGTAACTTTTTGACCCGCAAATTCAAAGAAAAGGTTCCGAGGATTATTTAGTTATGATTTTGGCAGTAAACAGAAAGCTCTAATGGATTTTCTTGCCTCGAGTTCATCTTGAAAAAGAGAAAACACCGGGAAGCCGGCTTAAAACGTAAATAAGCTTATGCTTACCTGACTCATGATTTTCTGAGACACTTTACTCTCAATACTTCTCTTCGTCAATGAAAATTATTGCCTCTGTACATGTTTCACCGAATTAAATTTATTTTATTGATTGTTAGTAGTCCCTCTCGCAATTTTTATCGCTGCACCGGTTTTTTTTTTAATTTCCAGTCGAACATAAACATCGCATGCAAGAATACTCAAAACGCCGCGCGTAAATATCACTCGCTTTTAAAGATTACACATAAAAAAATCATGCACAGTTTAATGAATAAAGGGAAGTAAAACCTAAACATAACAATTTCTCTATCATGTTGAAGCGTGAATGGTAACTCCAGGGGGGGCTAGCAACGGCCTTTGATCTTGCCGCTTTTCGGCTTTCCATGATCGCCCCAGTTAAGAAATCTGTCAATCATTCGAGAACTGTAGCGAGCATGCGCGAAACGGGCTGGGAACAACAACAACAACACCAAGGAGTTCGTCTTCGCAGCGATTCGATAGTGTGAAGTGAATTCGCTTTTGGTCCCGTTGGCCATTGCTTTCTTTGCTGTAACCGATTTTTTCCGCAGTAATGTGAAGCTTACGTTTTCCTTTCTTCTGGTCTTGCGTTTGTCATTACATGCGGTTTACTACGCTAAGAACGAGACCAGTGAACAGTCATTGTACATGTTCCTCGATGCCCGACCTTTTGGCTTACGACAGGCTTTCAAGCTGTGTTTCTCTTTAGAAGACCCACAAGACTAGAAGAAGGGCCAACTCTCCAATGCGTATGTAGAAGAGTTTATATTTTCAAGTGAAAGGCCGAAAATTAATCCTTCGTGATATTAAAAAAAAGCGCGGTGGCCGTGGTCAAGTAGAAGAGTTGTCAGAGTTGTTTACGGTTTTATTACACCTTTAAGACGAAAAGATTCTTAATTCTTGATCCTTGATTGTGAACTTATCCTGGCAGAGTTGCGTGGGATGATTGAGTGGCATACGGTCATATCTCGTATTTCATGTATTTTGTTATGTACTAAAAGCTAAATAAATTTTGCCAAGAGATCATTCACTCTTGATATGCTTAAGTTCTTATCTTCGTGTGATTTTATTTAAACTTTACCGTAGTTTCTAAGAAATGAATATAGGCAAATGAGAGGGTAATTATTTTGTGTGTTTGGAATTCTCTTTTCATGACAGCAGTTACTACACTGCCTTCAGTTTGAGTCCTCGTTCAACTGTTTTTTGTTTTGTTGCAAACAAAGAGGGAGAAATTATAATTATTTTATTCCAAAATCTACACTACCTACTGGAACAACAGTATGGTTTAAAAAAGATTAGCTAAGGTCAGAAAATAAATGTTCAAGTTTGCATGTTTCGACAAGGACTACATCTGGCTAAATATGCTTCAAAGGGAATTTATAAAATTAAAAAAATGGTGACATTTCTATGTTTGCCTTTCCTTTGGCCACTGAGATCAGTTTTTGCCATATAGTTGCATGTAATGTTTTACACCCTTGGACATCAACCTGCCAGGTTAGTTTGTGTCTGTGTAAAAATGTAGTTTACTGTTAATGAAATCAAAGTAAACCCTCTCAACTTAAAAATTGCCTTGTACTAGTGGATATTGAAAACAGCATAGGATGCCTTGGAAAAAAAATGTAAAATGATTATTAAGATAATATTATTTGCAGTTAACAATAACATTTAGAAACTTGTGTTGAGGCTGGCAAAAATATTTTTCAGAGACCATAAACCTTCACTGACTTTGCTGTTACAACAACCCTGGGCTTACAGTGAAAGAGAGTATGGGTAGTAGGACACATTGTGCATCTCCCTACCCTTTTTAAGCCAAGAGACCTTATTTTATAATCCTGATTCATTTCCTTTAACATACAGAATTAAGGTAGCTTTTAACCTTAGAAACATGGCAAAACTTGGGGGGGCGGGGATGGTGGTACCAATAGACTGTACTCTATAGATCGCTTCTTCTTCAACCTTCACAACCCAAACAGACACCTTGGTCACCACCCTAAATCAGCAGCACATACCCATCTAGGCCAAATAAGCCAAGGGTAGTATAGTAGGAAGAACTTTCAAGCCTCTTCTGATTCTCTTTATAAACTTTGCAAAACATTCAGTTTTCTTTTTTCTGTTTCTTGTACTTCAGACCTTTGAGGGATTTTCTCAACGCATACTCTTTCCTGATGTACTCACTCTTATTAGCAACTGAATTAGCCTCTTGTTCTTACACTAAACCACTATAATCATTTCAAGTATAATTCATAACTAAAGGGTAATTTTTGTACCAACAATTTCAAGGAAATACTTGAAACCGAAGTCACTATCTAATACAAAACTACTAAATACGGTATTGCTGTTGGAAATTTATTGATTATCACTCCAATGACAATCCAGTGAAGGTTTTGAAGGTTCAGTAGACCCCTCCCAGCCTTCTGATATTAAAAATAGCTTATACTGACAGACCCAGTATATGTGAAGCAAAGTGAGTGGAACATTTACCCTGGTTTTTACTAAATTGGCCGTGTATTCTGTATTTACGCCCATAAATATTTGTTG